CCTCCCTGGGTGGACTGGTTTCCTGGGGCTGCCATGACAAAGGGCCACACGCTGGGCAGTTGAAACAACCGGAATCTTCTCTCCCAGTTCTGGAGACACAGGTGCTAAGTCCAGGGCCCGCAGGGCTGGGCTCTCTCCGCAGGCTCCAGGGGAAGGTCCCCCGGCCTCTCTCAGCTCTCTCTCAGCTCTCTGGGGCTGCCGCAGCCCTGACACTCCTGGGCTCTCAGCTGCGTCGCTCCCATCACGGCCTCGGTGGTCACGTGGGTCTTCCTGCAGGTCTGTGTCCCCATTGTCTTCCCTCTGCATGTCTGTCTCTGGACCTCTTCCGCTCTCATAAGGACACCGGTGAGACCAGAGCGAGGGTGCGTCCTACTGCAGTCTGCCCTCGACTTGACTTAAATAATTACACCCAACAAAAGCCACGCGCTGAGGTTCCAGGAAGGACGTGAATTTGGGGAGGGCACTGTTCTGCCCAGCGCACTTGGAAGTCACTTAGTGGCAATGGCTGCAATCACAGGAAAGAAGTCTTAGGCCCAAGAGCATGGTGGCTTATCCCCCCGGGCTTGGCAGGCTGGTGGGAGGAACGGCTCCCTGGAGTCCCCTGCTGCTGCCCTGGGATCTTGGGGACTGTCTCTGCCCTCCCTGCTGTCCTGCTGGGACAGGCTTGGTGCAGGGCCTGGCAGGCCCGAGTAGAGGGCACACCCAGGTCCCCCGTCCGTGTGCTGCGAGGACCTGTCTTCCTGCTGCAGCGCCTCCAGCTCCAGAGGCCCGGCTGGGTCCCCAGGGCGGGGCTGTCAGTGAGGAGCCTGGTGTCCCCACACACACCTGCTGCCCAGCTCCCAGCTCTGTTTGTCTACGACTTATCTCCACACTTTTGCGTTCCTGGTCGTAAGTCCGCTCATTCCTAGGGGCGCCTCTTTGCTGGAACAACCTAGGCCGATGCAACAGTTCCAAACCCCAAGGAGCTCTGGTTCTAGAGGCCGCTGTGGCCAAAATCCCCTCAAGTAGACCTTGAGCCAGACATCGGTTTGCCTTGAACTCCCAGGGACTGTCCTATGCCCCCCGCCAAGGATGGGCACTGGTTCAGCACTGGGGGCAAGGGGCTGGGGCCCGTCAGGGGCATCCCAGGGCCCAGGGCCTCTGTCCTGACTGACTCAGCAACACCTCGTCCTCTCCCCACTCCCAGTGCGCAGTTGGTGGCTGACACATTTGCATGGCTGGACCCCTCCCCCATTTGTCCTCATCAGAAACCTCCCTGAATTGGTCACACCAGTGGCCACCTGCAGGTCCTGATGGCTTGGGCGGGACAGGTCAGGCAGCAGGAAACAGTGTGGGACCCAGAGAGAGGGGCTCGCAGCCAAGGCAGCTGCAGGATGATGTGACATCTGGTCGGCAGGAGGCTCCCAGGAGACGTGTGATATCAAGGCCCACCCAGAGGTTTCAGTTAACAAGACCTTGTCCTTTCTTCCTCCATCTGGCTCTCTTTGGGCTTTAGAAGCCAAGAGTGACCACGTCAGAAGCCGAGAGGTGACAGGGAACATATAACCCTGTGCAGGACACGTGGGCTCCCTGATTCCTGCAGGTGGTGAGTTAGTACTGTCCGCCCGCCTGCAACACCCTCCTGACCCTCACCCATCTTTGAACTCCTATTCATCCCTCAAGACTCCATTCAGATTTCACCCCAGCAGAGAAGCGTGCTGTGCAGCATTGTGGCGGCTCTCATATCACACTGCATCACAGTTTACGCTTTAAGGCTCATCCTCTCTCGCAGGGCTGCGGTCTCAGAGGTCAGGGACCATGCCTGGGGGGCTTAGGGCCTAACATGTGCCTGGCCCGTGATCCACACTTAGCCTGTGCTTGCTGCACACACATGCCAGGGTCCCTGCCTCCCGCAGGTGGAAGGCTGCAGCCCCAGCACTCGGACCCGTCCAAGGACACCTCCCTGGGACACCTACACACCTGGGACACCTACACACCAGGCCTGGGGTGGGAGGGACTTGCAGGGGAGGGGTCCCAGGACAGTCCAGACACACAGCCACCCTAGGTCTCAGGGGTTAGGCCTCCCAGGGCCGGGCCAGCCCCCTGCCCTCCAGGGAGCCCGTGCTGGCAGCCCCTGTGGGAACCCGGGCCCGAGCCACGGGGCATAGCTGCCGCTTCTACACACTGGGGGCTCGAGAATCTGGACCCTCTGCCCCCATAGCTGCTGCTGTGCCACACTCGACAGGTGACCACTGTGTGTCCTGGCACCCTGCTCGGCTCTGTGTCGCCAACTCAGAGAGCCTTGGGGGTGAGGGGCTGTGTGACAGGTGAGGAACCTGAGGCACAAGCAGTACAATGACGTCCCTAAGGTCAGGGAGCCCAGGACTCCAGACCAGCTTTCTCTGCTTCCCCACCTATGAGACAACCGGTTTTCCTGTGGGGACTCTTCAAGGACAGGGACTGGTCCCCTCTGACATTCCTTCCTCGGCCCCAGCCCTGGGCGCAGTGGAGACGGCCTGAGTTAAACCAGAGCAGACCCCAGGTGGCGGTTCCGGGCCATGGCCGCCCAGGGCAGCACTTGGCCAGCTCTGAATTACCCGCCTGGGGGCGGGGCCTGGGCGGGTGCACTGCCCCAGCCTCCCAGTGACCGTGAAGGCCCCCGGCAAGGAAGCCGTGGAAGCACCTCAAGTGCCCATCGACAGACGAATGGGTAAAAACACAGTGGTGCGTCTATACGGTGGAATATTACTCAGCTTTAAAAAGATGAAGTTTCACCCTGGCTGGTGTAGCTCAGCTCAGTGGATTGAGCCCAGGCCTGCGAATCATACGATCACGGTTCAATTCCCAGTCAGGGCACATGCCTGGGTTGCAGGTCAGTTCCCAGCAGGGGACACATGAGAGGCAACCACACATTGATATTGCTCTCCCTCTCTCCTTCCCTTCCCCTCTAAACGTAAAAAAAAAAAAAGAAGTTTCACCATTCGTGACAGCATGGACAGACCCAGAGGGTAATGTGCTCAGAGAAATAAGTCAGTCGAGAAAGACAAGTACCATATGATTTCACTAATATGTGGAATCTAAAGAACAATATAAATGAACCAATAAAACAAAACCAGACTCACAGACAGAACGGACAGTGGGCTGCCAGAAGGGAGGGGCATGGGTGGGAGGAAAAGGTAAAGAGATTGAGAGGCAGAGCTTGGTGGTTACAAAGTAGCCACGAGGATGGAAGGGACGGTCAGTGATATCGTCATTACTGCCTGCGGTGCCAGATGGGGCCCGGAAATAACGGGGGTGGGGGACAAATACATAGTATATGGTTATCTTATCGTTATGATATACACCTGGAACTAATGTAAAATCATATCAAATGTAAACTGTAATTAAAAAAATTTTTTTAGAGCACGGGAGGAGACCAGGGCCCTGGGGGAGACAGCCTCGAATGACTGTCCCCTCGAAGCCCGTGTCCGGGGTGTTCACACTCTCTGAAACCATCTCGGCCCGTGGCTTGGCCTGGCCTGTGTTCTGGAAGCGGCAGGCAGGGGTCTGGCCGGAAGAGGCTGCCAGGAATGCCCCCAGGACGCCGTTCTTCACAACGTGAAAATCACGCCGCCTGTTAGCGCGGGGCCGCCGGCCTCTGGGAGGAAAGCGGACGCACTGAGAGCGGCCCGGCTCCTGCTCCTCCCCGGCGCTTGCCTCAGAGGGGGTGGCAGACCAGTGGCAGTGTCACCCCCCAAACCCGTTCATCTGGGGCTCACTGAGGACACGGGGCTGGGGCGTCACAGGGTGGGACACAGTTGTCCTCCCCATCAGTCACTCGGTGGAGGACAACTCTGTGGACAAACCTCGAGCAGTCGGTTCCCTCAATGCCATCCCCGGGCCCCCTCGAAGCCAGACCCAGGCGGTCAGTGTGACCAGCCAGATGACCCACTCGGGGGATGATATGCAAAACCCACAGTTAGGTAAAGTGCCGCAGGCAGAAGAGAGACGTGAACATAAAAGGACCCCGTACTGTCCTGCTCTCCCCAGGCTGTCGCCTGCCCAGGACAGAGGGGCTGTGTCGGACAGCTGGGACTTTGGGTCCCACAGAGGGCATGTGAACTTCACACCACCAGGTCTACTAGGTTTCAAACTTGTGCAGCCAACTTAGTTTCTGAACCTTAGTTTATTCCTCTGAGAAATGGGAATAAGTATTCCCAATCATTTAGATAGGTTATTATAGAACAATTTCCCAGATATAGCCTTCATTTAAAGAAAATGCAAGCTGGGTAAAGATGTATAGCAAGCTCCCATTTGTGTTAGAAAAAAACCACATGCTTAGATCTAGAGAGAACTTTTCTGGAAAAACATCTAAGAAAGTATTCAACATGGACATCGCTAGACCGGAGGGGTCTTTTGCACTGATTTTAAGCACGAGCTGTATGTATTATCTGTTTATTAAAATGTATTGAATGAGTTTACTTAATACATTTATTAAAATGTAGTTCATAATAAAAATATTTTTTGCTGGAACAAAAAATAAGAAAGAAAGGGAAGGCATGTGTACCTTCAGGAGCTGCGAGAGACATGAAGTCCCAGTTGCGGTCCCCGAGCTGGGTTCGCTGCTGGTCTTCTCACGACCAAGGGTGGGCCTGGGATGAAGGAGCCCTAGTCATGGCCTAGGGAACCTTCGGGACTCTCACTGGCTGGCTTGTTGATACTGAAGCCCAGCCCCACGCTGAGCCTTTATTTTTCCCTCCTGGCCAGGCTGGCATGGCGAGGACACAACTCTGTCCCTGACAGAGGAGTGTTAACCCCCCACGTTACCAATGGGGTCCACCCGGTCAGCACCACCCTCTCTGCTTCTGGGAGCTGAGCCTCTGGGGGCTTTACCATCAGGTCCTGGAACTGGCAGGCAGGGCCAGTGAGCAGGGAAGGGCCATCCCCAAACAAACAGACTCCAGAGCGCCAGTGCAAACACAGGGGTGGGTATAAAGGAGCCTTCTTGGCCGACGCAGCGCATCCTCTGAGGGCTGGGTCCCCAGCATCTGTCTGTGACCATGGAGGCCAGAGCGCTCTGGCTGCTGGCAGTGATCCTGACCTTGGTGTCCAGCTCGTCTGGGCAATATGTGGGCCTGTGTGAGTACCACCTTCCCTCACTTCTCTCCCCTCCACAGGGACATGGGGGCTGTGGGCAGCGAGGGACCCAGGACCAGGGGAAGGCACAGGAGAGAACCAGGCTTGGGGGCTTTCTGTGGGTGTGAGGAAGGTGACCACGCCCCCACACTAATTTCATAATTTCCATTGACCAAACACACACATCGTCTCTCAATAGCCCGGCCGACCAGGTCCTGCTGTCCCGTCTTAGACAAGGAAGCTGAGGCTCAGAAACTTAGTACAGGTCCTAAGGTACCTCTCATCCACCATCAGCGTGGGGCTCAGGGCTGGCCGCCAGGTCTGCCTGACCAGTAGCCGGTGCCCAGAGCACTGTCTCATCGCCTTCTTTGCTAGAAACAAAAAGGAAAGACAAACCACAGGGACCACTTCCAGAACCACTGGCAGCGTGGCAGCCCCAAGTGTGGATGTGTGGGGGCTGCAGCTGTTTCATTAACCCACGTTTAAAGAACTTAGGGTGTGGCTTTTGTCTGGTTACCTACTGAGCTGTGTCCAAGGCAGCGGCTCCCAAACTGGGCGCCCGTTAGACCCCTGAGCCCAGGATGCACCAGCTCTGTCAGAAGGTCTTCGGGTTGGAGGGGGACCTCGGTGCGGTTTAAAGACTCCCCGCAGATCCCGAGGTGTGGGGAGCAAGGGGTTAAGGAAGTGCAGACCGACAGCCATACTTAGGAGAGGACTTAGGTGCTCTCTGCTTTGCTAAGCAGAGCTCCAGTTGGGTGATGAGGCCAAGTGGACTCCTGCTAACTTCAGACACACAGGCTTGCCTGGAGTGTGAACATCGGAGACCAAAGGAGCGACAAGCCCAACAAGATTGGGGGGTAGGGAGGGGCAGGAAAGAAGTGAAAAGCTCAGCGTGCGTTGTGACTTTCTGTACTGAATATATATATCCTGTTATGCTTTTCATTTAAGAAGGGGGGGTAGTAGTTTTTCTGGATACAACAGGGAACCTGGAAACAAAATTCCAGGGGACCCTGGATGCCCTGGGTGGCTGCCAGCCCCAGGGAACACAGGCCCGTACTGAGTTCCTGACAAGTGCGGGAAGCTTCCAGGTGGTCGGCCAGATCCCCTACAAAATGTTTCTTCTTAAATATTTACACAGAAAGAGGGTTCCCCTCAGGCAGATGTTGGGGAAGGGGTGCTGTAGACTTTGAACTCAGGAGTGGGGAGGAGGTGGGTGCAAAGGAGCAAAGTGAAGCTAGCAGACCAACCCCAAGCCAGCAGGGTGCTGGCCGCTGACTGGGCTTTGTCTGGGGCAGCGGAGAGCCAGTGCGCCGTCTTGGCCACCGACCGGGTAGACTGCGGCTACCCCGAGGTCACCTCCGAGCAGTGCAAGAGCAGCGGCTGCTGCTTCGACTCCAGCATCTCCGGGGTGCCCTGGTGCTTCAAGCCTCTGCAGGACACAGGTAAGCCGGCCCGAGTGCCCACCTGGGGCCCTGGGCAGGACACCCGGTGCGGTGGCCCTCCGTTCCTAGGGGCCTCAGTCAGCCGCCAGCGGCTGCTCCCTGCTGTGCTGTTGCGGAGCAGTTAGTGCAAAATACAAAAGCGATTGTTTCCAAAAGGTGTCAAAGTCAAGGCAATCTGTAGAGAGAGAACTAGTTTAAAAAACTGTCCTGGAGGGAAATGGAAAATATGGAGGCTTGGAAAGCCAGGCTGTTTCACCAGCCACGTCCAGCAGACAAACTGGCACCACTTGTGACACACAGGCAGCAGGCGGGGGTGGGGGTGGGGGGCAGTGCTGGTGTGGGTTCCTCTCCATGCCTCACCACGAGGGCACCCCTCCCCACCCCTCCCTTCCACCCTCCCTCCCTGGTGGTGCAGTGGGGTGCAAGACAGCCACCCTGGGGAACCCAGTGTCAGCAACAGATGGCGTGCACACGGGGGTGGCTGTCCTGGTTCCGGCGGCCCCACCTTGCACATCCTGGGCGTGGACATCACCATAAACCATCTGGCACCCCAAGTGCCAGGTCATCTTCTAAGGAGGATAGCTTCCTGGAACCAGCACCCAAGGGGTTGCTCTTGACCTTTGTCCCAGGATAATTCAGAGGGGGGACTGGGAGGTCCTGCAGAGTCCCATCTCACTTATCACCTGGCCCCTCCCCCCTCGGCCTGGTGGGGCTCGAGGTGGGGGACTCGGCACTTCCCCAGTCACTGTGGGAATAATGCAGCACAAGACCCTGACCTTGAAGCCTAACTTGGCTTTGAGAAGCTGGGCAGTGGGTGGTGGAGGGAGACCTTCTCCCAGTAATGCATCCTATGATTTGTTTCCAGAATGTACCTTTTGAAGCCATGCCCACCTCCCCAGACACATCGGGAGATGATTTTCCACCCCCGGAGCCCTGTCTGCTCATCTCTGCTTTTCTGCTCCAGGCAAGGCCTTGGCTGAAACCTAATGCCTGGGCCTGAGACTCCCAGAATAAAAATCCACACCCAGCATGAGCACGGGTCTTCAGTCCCGAGAGTTTGTGTCGTTCTGTTTTATTTCCACCAAGTCACTCTCACTCCCTTGTCAGCCTGTCACAGACAGGGGACAGCAGGGGGTGTCACATCATCTCTGAGCAGAGGGTCTGTTCCAGCCTGGGGGTCAGGGGCAGAAAATAGCCCCGAAGGAGCCACATTGCCTGTGGCTTTGCTGCAGACCTCGGGCAGGGTGCAGATGTGATGGGCGGAGGGGACAACCTCCCAGGAGGCCACTGCCTCCTGCAAGTTGAGCGAGCACATTTCAAATACAAATAAAGAAAAGATCATGTCTTTCTTGGTGAAGGGAAAGCCAAAACCAAAACAAAACAAACAAAAAACCCACAAAAACCACCGTCTTACAAACTGGCACTTTTTTGGTATTTATTTGCAAGTTTAACGTATGTTTCACCTTGGGTGGCCACCTTCTCCTTTTTTCTTCTAAAAATGGACCCGGGTATGTGAATAAAGGAAGTAGGGTCACCTCGACGTTCTCATGGAGTTTTAACTACACTCCATGGAGAGCTGTTCCTGCCTGTCTGGGACACGCAGTCCCAGGGACAGCAGCAGGGGCTCCAAGGTGGGAAGCCCATTTACTCAGGCTGAGTGTCCTCTGCTGTTGCCATTGTTGGGACCCTCTTAAGGGCATGAGGACATTTTACCGCTCGCTTGTTCAGGCTGCACAGTGGCCAGAAAGTGCTAGGCCGGGGGGGGGTGCTGTTTCTCGTTCTGAGCTGTCCTTCCCACTGGAAAAGAGACACCGGCTGCCTTCGGAACAGCAGCCTTTGTTTTTGAGCTTGTGCCTGGGACCAGGCCCCTAGAGATATTTCTACCCTTGTCTGGTAGATGAGGAATCTGTCCAATAGCCCCCGCTGAAAGGGACATTGTCAGGATGTCCAGGTCTCTAAATCCTAAGCCTTGTGTGATCCCTCCAACACTTTCCAGGCCATAAGGACGAGCCTTTCTGGGGACATCTTGGACCAAGGAGCACAGGTCTGGAGTGGCCTCCTCACTCAGGACTATGCAGCTACCCATGCAGTTCCCACCGCTGTATCCCTTTTCCTGTCCGGCCCCAATGCCAGGCCTGAGCTCAGCCGGAGGGGTTTAAGGGTCACCTTGGACCGGGCATCAGCCTCGGGTCAGGCCACACAGCTGCTGCTTGGACGTCACCCTGCTGTCCCAACAGGCTCTGCTCATCGCCTTGCTGCCTGCCTGGGGCCTTCTCTCCAGGGCGGTGCTCTGCTGCCCCCTGGTGGTCTGGCCTCATCCAGGATGACCCCCTACTCCACCTGTGCTCCCAAAGAGCCCCTGGCTCTTCTCTGCTACCTCTGCCATCCCCGAGAGCGCTGCCCTTTCTGCCTCCGACAGCCACGCCCCCACCTGCCCCTGATGTCTGCCGCTGTGTCGGGAGGGACGGGTTCCACCCCAGAATCTGCAGCCAGGGGCCCCAACCTCATCCACTGCAGAGCCGGACCCATTTCCCTGCCCTGCCTGTCCCTTCCTTATGACAATGTTCCAGAGTTCAGGGGTGGCCAGACTTTCGGTGTCTCTGGCCACACTGGGAGAAGAAGAGTTGTCTTGGGCCACACATTAAATGCATTATGACACATAGTCACCAAGAAATCAAATCTCATCATGTTTTAAGTAGATTTATGGCCTTGTGCTGGGCAGCCCTCACAGCCCTGCTGGGCCACAGGTTGGACACCCTGCAGGACGGTTCACTGTGTCCTGCTGTCGCCCTGGGTGTGGCAGCTCAGTTTGCTCTCACCCAACGGGGGAGTTTGACACAGGAGGTTCACGTCACATGTGGTTGACAGAGCAAGACCCCCCTGAGCCCGGCACATGGCTCCCCATGTACGAGTCCCTGTCCTTCCTCTCTAAGGGCCCGGGTCCACCACTCTTCTTGGTGGCTCCCCTAACCACCCCACTTGTTCAAAGATGCACAAACAGTGCACAGGATGGCAGCGCCACCCCCTCCCCGGCAACCTCAGCTCACGGTGCCATGGCCCTGGGTGTCCCTGTGTGCCAACCTGTGGCTGAGGAGTCACTGCCCTGTGGCCCAGGCACCCTGAGGCCATGCTCTGGTGGTAGCGTAGCTCCTGGGTTTTGGGGCTGTGGGCCATGGGGGCCCTTGGAGGGGGTGCACTGCCCAGGAAGGACGTGGGCACTGGGCACCACATTTGCTTCCTGCAGTTGGCTGCATGGCCCCCCCGGTGAGGAGAGAGCCCAGGCCTGGGCTGTGACAAGGGACAATCCCACCCTGGGGGCAAGGATCCTGCGGCTGCTGCGCCCCACCTTCTCAGACAGACCCCGCAGCCTAGGGGAAATGCCATCACCCCTCACAGACACTGCTGTCACCAGCTACCTGTGATTCAGTGGCCAGAAGGATTCTTCATGGAGGCCACTGGCACCACCACAGGGGACAATCCTGGCACCCGACCCCAGACGGCGGTTTCCACTCCGTCGTATCCACTCCGTTCAGGGCCCCGTCCTGATGGTGTGCTTCACGGGGTCTCAGGAAGACCCCAGGCCGGACTCAGAGGCAGAACACACCTGCTTCCTAGCACAGGAGCCTCTCATCTGAAAGTGGGGGAGGGGCGTGTAAGGAAGCGGGGTGGGGAAGGTGAGGGGCTGAATCTTCCTGTCCCAGGGCTCAACCGTCTCTCTCCACACTTTCCTCTGTTGTTCCTGCAGGGGTCATGGGGGTCACCATGCAAGGCAGCCTCTGGCTCTCTGCCCCATGCGCCCTGGGCCCCGGTCAGTGCAAACGGTGGCAGCCCCACCCCCAAGGCCAGTGCTTCAGGGGGTTCAAACAATGGACCTGGACATGAGCATTAGAATCACCTGGCGAGATTTTAAAAATCTCAGCGCTCTGGAGAAGAGATCAGAGTCTGTCAGGCGGGCTGGGCCCAGCGATGTCCACATGCAAGGTGGACACCTGATAGAAAAACCAAGTGGGTGGGGAGGGCAACGTCCCTCCCCGCGGCATCAGGGAGGGCGAGAGCTCCAGGCAGAGAAGTAGCCACAGACCTGGGGTTCAAGGTTGTTACTCTTCATGCGAAATATACCAGCAGCTCAGGGTGAATTGGAATAATTCACCAGGTTTTGTAAGATCGGGGGATTGTTCTGATATCAAATAGCTTCCTTGTTGACTTAAACATGGTATGCATTTCTAGAACCTCCCAGAAACTATGGAATGAGAACTTTGTTTTGCCGATCAGAAGCCAGACCCCCGCGCTGCTGCTGACAGGGGAGATAAACAACACCCCCCCACACACACACATGTGCACTGTGGCCATTAAACCTGTTAATTACTTCCCACGCTGCTTAAATGCATGTCCTTGCCCCCTGGATTTCAGTGCAGTTGGTCCTTCAAGTGTTGCTTTGACACTTCTTACTGGGCAATGGTCCCTTCCCTGTTGGCTGGATGGCTGTGTGTTGTTTCAGAACATGTTGGAATTTGCTGGAGTTTATGACTCTCTTCCAAGAATTCTTCATCTTTCCATGGCCTAGAGAGAAGGGGCTTTGCTCCCTTCTCAGATGCCAGAATGGGGTCAGGTGAGCAGCAGCGTCCCTGGGGGGCTCTGCAAGGGCAGAGGGCAGACATGGCCTCTCTGCCCGTCTGACAACCGAGAACGGGGAGTGGGGAGGAAGGACTGGGTGGGCAGAGCTGCCGGCCACGGCCACGTTCAGATCGGGTCTCCTGCAGGCTGGAAGGTCTCCCCTTGGACGCCGTTCTTCAGGACCACAGAGGCACTGTTGTGTATTGGAAAGAGGTGGAGACCCTTGAAGTCCCCACTGGTACCTGGGGACAATTGCAACAGCTGTGTCCCAGGGCATTTGATGGTCTAATGCAGACCTTGGTCCTGATGCTTTGGTGTTGGGGTCCTCAGCCTTTCGGCACTGCAGCTCCTCCCTGTGCTCCTGAGGTTGTATGTTGCTTTTGAAGTCTCAGTGTACTTTCTGAAAGAAGCCAGACGCCTAGGCCACACATGGTGTGAGTTCGTTTATATGACGCATTCAAGTCCACAGAGATGGGATGTACATTAGCGGTTGCCAGGGTTGGGGAAGGGGGTGGGGAGTGACTGCGGATGGGGTCTGGGGTTCTTCGGGGAGTGATGGAATGTTCTGGAATTTCAGAGTGGTAATGGCTGCACAAAACAGCACATCACACAATTCAACAGGGTGGCTTTTGTGGTGTGTGAATTCTCTCTCTCCTGTGTGTGTGTGCCCATCTCTGCTGATTTATTGACTTAGCCTGACTTCCTGCTGGGAATCAAGAGTTTAGTTCCAAGGCTTTTGCAAGGACCAGGCTTGTTCTGTCCTTGATGCCGCTGGGCCTGCCAGGTGGCCTCCTAGGGGACCTTGATCCCTTCCAGGTCAGGCCAAGCGCTCTCTCCACCTTACCCAGACCCCACTCGGGGGCAGGAACTATCGGTTGCTTCTCTCTGGGAAGCTCTCTCTGCTCTTATTGGTGTGGACATTGTGACCTTCCCCTCGGGTTTGTGGGGCACAGATGACCCCTGTCCTCCCTCTCCGTGCACCCACACAGCTGCTCAGCTTTGCAGGATGGCGCACAGCCCCAGGGCCCTCTAGAGGGCGCCCTTGGACAGCGTCCTGAATTCTTCCTCTGCTGCTGCTGCTCCTGCCAGTGGGGAAGCCTCCTTGGTCTCTGGATGGGCAGAGGTCCCCTTTCCTTCTTCAGCCTGTGCTCACATATGATAATGAGGTGGGAAATTAGGAGAAACAAGTCCCCTTTCAAGGTCCCAAGCCAATAGGTGGCTGCATCAAAGTCTTCTGAGCCAGGAGGCAGCGCTGGGCACAGACTCCCAACGGCTACTCACTGGCCAGCAAAAGGGGGTAGGCACTTGGGGAAATCAGTCTATTCTCCATAGTTTTATTTCTATTTCTTACTACTTCATCTTTGTGTAGAATGAGGCTGCCGACAAGTGGCATTGTTTTACTGTCAAGGCCATGGGCATGTCCTCAGTGACAACCAGCACCCTTGGGTGAAGTGGGTGGGATTCACTTGGCAAACCTTTTTTGGCAACAACCCTGAAGCAGCCTGCAGCCCAGAGAATCACCACTTTCAGTGGAACCGGAGGCCAGAGGCCTGGTGGCGGCGTGTCCGAGCTGGGTGGGGTGGCCTCAACAGCCCCTCGGGGACACTGTGAGAGTCGGCGGGGGGCATGGGGTCTGCAGGTTCCCACCTTCAGTCAAAACACTTCTCAATGCCCACACTTTACATTTTGGATTTCCTTTGCTGGTATCCAGAAAGGTTTCTGTGGTTCAAATAGCAGGTTGTAAGGATATCAGTATAAGGATGTTTTCCAAATTTTCAAATTTTTTGAAGTATGGTTGTTACTGAAGAAATGACCACATGCCTACTGAAAGGGAAGTGGCTGCATGGATTCTGGAACATTCCACAAAGGTGTGCTGTGCAGCGGGAGTGGGGAGCGCTGTTGCTTCTGGTCTGCAGCGCTGCCCGCGCTACGGCACAGGGGAGGAAAGCGGGTGTGAGCTGAGGCGCGGCGTCCCCCTCTTCCTGGCCTGCTGACCCAGGCACAAATGGACTGTTTGTTACCTGGCCGTCCGCCCTTGATGGGGCGTGTGTGGGTGGGTGAGGGCGAGATGATTAACTTTTGTGTTATTTGTGGAAGCAAGTGCACAGGATATTTGTGATTTAAAAGTTCCAATGCAGATCATTTTGGTAGAAGTGGGGACGGAATGGGGACTGTTACGGGGAAGGTGGGGATGGTTTGGAAGCACAGGGGCGCACCCGGGACAGAGAAGCTTGGGCAGGAAGGAGGGATGGGAGCGCTGGGTCACCAGGCTTCGCTCTGTCCTGCCCCTGTGCACACTCCCTGCTCCACGCGGACAAAGATAGCCCAGTCTTCCCCATCACAGCCACACCTGGGTGGCCCAGGCCCACCCAAACCACACTGTTGACCCATATTGGGCTCGTAGACTGTAAAGAGCCCAAAGCTGATTCCTGGGGACATTTCTCCATCATCTTATCCGTTGACCACCCATCTGGGAGGAGTTTCTCCTGGTCAGGGGGACACATTCCGCCAGGCCGCTTCCCATGACAAGAAGAAATGATCCTTTGCTCTCAATGTCTCTTCCCAAGACAAGGAGTGAGATGAAGGGGTTGGGAGCCCTGGCTCCCCAGCCACAGGGTCACCATTACAACTCCGCCTCTACCACTAGCCGCAGGCAAGGAGTCTCATGTCTCTGAGTCTCAGTTTCCTCATCTGAGAAATGGGGCTGGCAGTGGTTCTGTGGCCCCAAGGATGGGGGTTACATTAGATCAGTCATGAAAAAGCACTTGACCCTGTACTTGCCACCACATTGTCACCAGGGGCTGGTGGATCAGCATCGTCACTCTTAGCTTCCTTCCCAAAGTCATCTGAACCCATTACCATACCTACTGAAGGAATGACTGGGTTAAGAGCTAGGGCCATGCAAAAAGGAGAAAACCACTCTCCCAGGGCTCGGCCAGACCCAGGCCCATTCTCCCGGTGGGCCAGAGGGCTGGCATTGTTGAAAGCCAGAAAGAGAGAGAGAGAGATGAAATCTGAAAAATAACAATTTTATTTGGTTTATGTCACATTTTCATAAATGGCATCTAATTTGAGAAAACAAAGTTCAAGTCTGCAAAAAATGCGTGTACAAATCTAAGAAGGCAACTCTACAGAAACATACAGAGCAGGACGCAATGTGTTTGGTAGAGGTGGGGCTCGTGTCCGGCGTCGGCCCAGGCCTGCGTTCCCGTGGAGTGGAGCAGTCCAGGGTTGCGTGCCCATGGGAGCCTGTGTCAGTTTTAAATACACATATGTATATATGTATGTGTGTACGTGTGCCGAGTTTATCTACAACAGTGCAGACCTCTCATAGCGTGCAAGCAATTATTTCCTAGGTAACCTAATTCAAAGTTACCTGTATAGTGTTATAAAAAAACACAGCTTATATAATCACATATTAGATATACAGATATACACATGTGTTTGCACGCTGGTTAAAAAGGTTACTTGCATTGACTCTTGCTTTGGAAGGAAGGACAAAGGAAAGACATTAAAACAGCTGCACATCACAACAGTTGGTGACAATCAGGGCTGCACCCGTGGGAGACAACCCAGGAGGCCGGGGCACTGGGCACGGAGGTTCACTCTGAAACACGCATGCTCCTCTGCTGAGAAACTCGGCTCCGTTCCCCCTCCCACGGGGGTCAAGGCGATAAAAATGAAAACCTCAGGTGTGGGGGATTTTATTAGCAATTTGACTGGCAAGACCTTTTCACTTTTAATTAGCTGAGGACGTCCAGATGGGGGATTTATGACTAAGCTGGAGTGGTCTGCGATCTAAAGGTCATGGAAGGGAGACCCCACAGGTGCTTGACGACGGAATTGTAAAATGCGGAGAGGTATTAAAACAAAATAGTCACCATGGCCAGTGAAATGCTCTCAGAAAAACCAAGTCCGCATGTGGTGTTCAGACCAGGCCGCCCCAAGGCCTCCAGGGACCCGTGGTGAGCAGGAGCTCCCCCACAAACCCACAAACCCACAAACCCCGGGCTTCCTGCCTTCCCCTGGAGGCTGATCCAACTCTCCCAGCAGCCGATGGCCCATCAGGCCCCCGACAGGGAGAGCGTGATGTGCCTGGTGCTCCAGTGAAGCTTTGCTTGGCAGGCGCCGTTTTCTCGAAAGCTCCCTGTGCTGGGCCAAGGGCTAGGCCAGGAGGAAGGGCTGGTGCAGACCAGGCCTTGGGGCAGGTAAAGCAGAAGGACAATAGTTCACACCGGGTCCTGGCAGCACGGGCTCCCTGAGGTCTCCTTCAAGGGACACCCGTCTAGGGGACCTGAGAAAGGCGCCAAGCAGGCCAGCGGGGGCGTTGCACCTCACCACTCCTAAGCTTGCCTGCGGGGCTTCAGCATCCTGTGGCAGCTCATGGGCCCCTGCTGCCATGACCCATCACCCCCATCGTGACGGGTACAGCAGGTGGCTTACAAGAGCCCCCAAATCAGGTCTCCTACATCAGCGAACATGAGGAGATGCCATTTGACTGTATCCAATATCGGGGCCATGCTTAAATTCAGGTGCAAAGTGCAGGCCAAAGGTGCCCACGGGGGATCAGCCCGACTGTCCCGTTTCCTTGGTGCAGACGCAGCAAACGGGACAGTGACGCTCCTCCAAGAGAAAACTTCCACTGAATGTAGTCATCTTGAATTTTGCCGTTTTTTATTCATGTGGCTGGGGTACGTGCTACTCCCAAGATCTGGTTAAAACCACAAAGCCCCATGAGACATTCACACACACTTGTGGCCATGTCCTTGACTTGGACTGCAAGGTGGTGGCCGTGGGGGTCGGTGCCCCAGCCATGGAAGGACCACGCGGAGCTGGCGAGCTCCCACATGCCCTCCCAAGGCCCAGGCCCAGCTGCAGGCTCTGCCCGGGTGGGGGACACGGCCGGGGCACTTTCGTGCCTCTGTTGCCTTCTCTTCAGCTTTGCAATGGTCACTACATGCTGAAGAAGTCACAGAGCGGTGTCCCCACGCACGACAGTCCCCCCTGGCCTGAATGTGGTGGCTAGTGTGTGTGGAGTGTTTTCTGCTGTTCACCGCAGGGGGACTCCCTGAGGGCAGAGGAGCATGGGGTCCCTAAGCCTGGCGTACGCCCACAGGAGTCACGTGTGTGCCCCAGGTTTGTACAGGTGCGGAGCAGACTTCCTGGAGGGGCCCCAACACGCCCGTTGGAGGAAGATTCCAAGTTGGCATGCTCAGAGGGAACGTCTGAAGTGGGGCAAAGGTCAAACCCTTCCTTTCCTCAAAAGTGGGAACAGGAGCTGGGAGGGGTTTGCCCTGGTCTGAGAAGGTCTAGCCACAGCCCAAAGAAGGGTGGGCATGAGAGCACGCTCTTCACACTTGCCCCTGCCTTCCTGCCCCGGAGGCGTGGGTTTAAGTACAGGCTGGAGTGAGCTTGCAAGTGTGAAAATTAATGCGCACGCACTAGGGGTGGGGGGCGCCCGGCTCCTTCCCTGCTTCTGGTCCCGGGGCAGCCCCGATAATTGTCGCAGAGGCATCTCCCTGACATGAGAGGCCAAGTGCAAGGACCCAGAGCGACCTTGACTTTCACATAAACTGGAGTGAGGGAGGGCCCATTCTCTGCAGAGCGGGGAGCTCAGTCAGCCGGCAGGCATCGCCATCACGAGCTCGTCCCGCATCTGGGGTGCTCTCTGATTGTGCATGCCACTCCTGGCTCCCTGTCACTCAGGAGGATGGCGGAGGCCATCAGTTCTGTGACTGTGTGGCCCTGCTCTTTGCTCTATATCCCAGGTGGGAGGGAAGCCCCGTGTGACAGCCTGGCCCTGAGCACCACTGCCCTGGAAGCTGCAGCTGGCTGAAGCTGAGAGACCTGGGAGCTCACGCAGTGGGTGACCCCAGAGTCCTGCTGGGTCCTGCTCAGCGTGACTGGGGGCCAAGCCCGATGGCGGGGGGCACTCTCCCCAGAGCATCCACCCGCGAAAGCCACGGCCTGAGAAGTGGGTGTCCCAGATGCTTGGAGCCATGACCGAGGATGACACCCTGGTGGGATACTGCCTGGTGACCATTGCAAGGATGAAGGGGGCCAGAAGGTGCAGACCACCTGCTCTGGGGGCCTTGGCACTTCTTGAGGTCACGGCCAACATGAACAAGGCAGGAGAAGGTGAGTGAGGAGTCTGGGAGGACGGAGGCCAGCCACAAAACAATAAGACAGTTCAGCACAAAACACAAGCGCTCCCAGGGGACGAAGTCGATGGTTTACAGTGTTGGACCCAAACCCCAAGCAATAAACCCAATTCTCTGCTAAACACACAGCAAATACATTCAAAATAGAACCTCAAAGTGCATTGTTGGGAGCCACATTCGAGCAAGTCATTTTGAACTGGAAGCATTTAACAGTGACCATGAGAAAAAGCTGTATATAAAATATTTTATTAGCAGTCTTCATTTCTCAAAAGTATCTAACTCTATAGGCATACACTCTGCAACCCCCCCCCCCCACTTTGAGTGGTTTCACTTTAGTTTTTGCCACACTGCAGTTCAGTGGGCGTGGAGGAGCACCTGGGTGGGCGTGGCCTCGGTGGGCCTGACGGTGCTCTTAACCGTCTGTACTGCAGGCACGGAGTTGGGGGAGGTCTTCCCTTCTCAGAGTGAAGGATGGCTGAGGATTCGCAGATGAAGGAATATGCTATGACACACAACCTAGCACAAGCCTGCACATGTGCACATGGGTGTTCACATGCACACACACACTTACTCCAGCTCTCTGACCAAGCTCCACAGGTGGCACCCCTTGGCAAGGCACCTGAAGGGGTGAGGCGTGGCCCCCCTCCCGTCTCAGCTACCCGTTGGGAGCTAGAATTCCAGAATGGCCACTAAGCTAGCACTGCATTTTATACAAAGTACTGTCACATACACTGTACACTGTGCACAGGGGGCAATGTGGCAAAGCAAAAAAAAAAAGGAGACCATGGGGTCAGACTGGGGATCGAATTCCAACTCTGCTCTTTCCTGGCCCTGGGACTGGGGACCTTGCTGCCCCTCTGCCAGCCCCAGTGTCCTGCATCTCCTGAATGAACAGAGTGACATGGTCATGGGTCCCTTCCGGCCTCTCTGCCCTCGGGGGCTGGCCCATATCGTCTGAGCTCCCTCCCTGAGCCCAGCACCTGGGCAAGCACCAAGCTCAGGGACGGGACGGCCAGCCCACCTTGGCTGAGTAAGCAAACAAGAGGAATTTGTAAGGCATCAGTGCGGTAGCCAGAACACTTGGCCAAGGAAGATGCTTGATCCACTGGACTCAAGTTTTTCTCAAGGACACAACCAAAGTGACTTCAACCTTGCGGATGTCGCCAGTCCCTGCCTGCCTGGCGTGCCTTTCTCAGGGTGGGAAGCCCACCTTTCTGTGAAGGAGTTTCCACCTAAAAGCTCATCAGTCCGAATCATTTCCTGGTCCCGAAGGCCCCTCCACCAAGGCGGCACAAACTGATTCCAGCATCTCTTATGTAAATGTTCATGAGGGGTTTCTTCCCATTCTGGGGCAAGCTTCCCACTTCACCCACAGCAACTTTGGAAGAATTTAATGCTCTAGCTGATATTCAGCGAGCGTAGCAGAGGGGGCGGCAATGCTGGCCATGGGGACAGAGGCGAGGGGCTCCCCGATGCGGTCTTGGGGCCAGGACGGTGGTTAGAATTCCAAGTGCCCCTTATTCTCCAGACACGTTTCATTTGAAAGCAAAATTCTCCAAGCTCCCATCTCCACTCTGCCCACCTCCAGAGGAAGGGTGAATCCTTTACCTGGGGGGCTCATCCTTCTCTAAACGAAGCGGTGAAAGGCATGTTTGCACCCCTGCATTCAGAAACCACTGAAAAGCCTTGGATTTGGGAAGCTGGCCTGCACATCTCCACCTGCCTCCTAACCACAGCCATTTAGAAAAATCAGTCAGTAGGTTGCCTGGATGCTATCTGAGGCCACTGGAATCAGGTATTTTCTGAAATGACCCTGAAACAAAAGCAGAGGGAAAATACCTAGAGATCTGAACAGAACGGCTGCATTTCAATAAAAGCTGGTAAGGGTTTCTAATGAGCATGTACAAGCAGGGGGCACTTGCTGACAGTTAAGTTGGGTGAAGGCAGCATCCTAGGGGTGAGGCTTCCTCACTCGACATGGCTGTAGGTCTTCTCAGGCAAATTATCCTGGGGTCCTGACTTAGTACACTTGCTATACCCCGCTCAGCATCCTTTAAAAGTAGCCCTGGGTTACTCTGCGCATGGGTTTCCCTTCTAGCAGACCGACAGCCATCGCGTCCCCAAAGATCCGCCCCTGGGCAGTGGGCAACCTCCATCAGTTCCTCGTCTATGAAGGGATGGATGTCCTCTGCCAACAGTGAAAAACTGAAATGCAGGGACCATGAACCCCTATAGGAAAAACCCCTTCTGAGGGCTTAGGAGTTGAGATTTTAAATCTAAAGGAGTCTCACAGTTTCCTTACAAAGTCGCTGAGACACACCGCCGAGGGCTCTCGGGGAATGGGATGCAGCTGCCCGTGCAGTGGAGATGGCCGATCCCACTCAGGGCAGTGCCTAGTGTGCACATTCTGAGTCGGAGCACAGAGCTGACACCGGAAGGGCTCGCCTGGCCGGGGGTGGGTCCTTAAACACTGACCTCACCTGACGCGGTGCTGAGGCACGATGGGTGACTTTCTCCTCTCCCCAACTCTGTATGTGCTAGGCTGTTCCTACGTGGGTCTGTCTATGTGTGATGTCTTACAGGCAAGTCCACCTTGAAATTAAGAGACGACGTTCCATAAAGGCTAAGTCTTACCCTGGTCACATAACACGGTCTGGGAGGCAGTGCCGTATTTGCATGGAACAAGCAAACCTAAAATTACATCTTAATACACCTTGACGGTGTTTGCTGATAAGGGTCTAAGGGTGAAAAAGTGACCTTGAAGAGTTCGACAGATTGAATTTGTGGGCAAGTAAAAATTGAATTCCTTTTGCTCTCAGAAGTAGGAATTAAGAGTTTTGGGAATAGAACCGAGGGATCTCTCAAAGTGGACGTGGCCCAGAGACTAGCTAGTGCTTCTGTTTACAGAAGAGGAAGCTGAGGGTCAGAGAGTTTGTGAATTCACCCACAGACACGCAGTCTTTCATTAGGGGACCCTGATCCCAGGGCAGCAATGTTCTAGCAGGGAGAACAATCCTACTTCCCTTCTGATGGCCGTCTTTGGCCAGAACCCCTTCCTGCCTCTGGACACACCGCCTCTGACAGCTGACAGGCACGCAGTGCCCCGAGAGGAAGCCAGAGGCTGTTCACTCTGCTCACGCTACAGTTCCTGCCCCAGAGAGACTGACTCTGCGATTACGTCCCCAGGAAGAAGGGGCTTCGGTCTGCGAGGCCTGCACAAGGCCAACACTGAGAAGGTGGTCCGGCTGGGGCGCCACGAGAACCGGCCCCTGCAGGCGCACTCACCCACAGCCTCGCTCAGTGAGCTGCAGACACCTCGGCCACACCGAGTGTCTGTCTGCCGGGCTCCTGCTCGGAGCTCGGGTCCTAACGAGGTCTCAGCAGCTTCCAACTCGTGTGGTCAGATCACCTTGCATGGCTGCACCTGGGACCCCTCAACGCCCACACCTGGATGCCCCTCAGCCCGGCATTCCCAGGTTCAGTGGAGGTAGTTGAAGTGAGGAAAGAGGAAATGGTTGTAAAAATGCAACAGGGTGGATCTTCTAGAATTTTTTAAGCAAAATTAAGGTGCTCAGAAAGTTAGAAAGAAACAATATATTTTGCTTAAAATAAGAAGCAAAGGGAAAATAAAATACTTTAAAAGACTTGGCCAATTTCACCTTCTTTTTGTTTGACTTCTTAAAATTTCTGCATGGCTCCGTGCGTACAGTTCCAAAGTCTCCTCTCAACCTGGAACCCACGTGTGCAGCCTTCCCAAGTTCATTAATGAGGCCAGCTCACCCTGAACAATGCTCTTCAACCAGTACTAAAAAGATACAGTTTCTTAAATACGAATGCAATTCATTGACTTTTGGCTTGGAAAATGACTTCTCATTGCAAAAAGAGACAAACTGTAGAAAGAAGGAAACTACGAAAAACAAGTCATAAAACGGGACCACTTCCCCCTTTGCCTTTCTCCCCCAGGATGCAACTGCGCAGTGCCCAGCTGAGAGGCAGCCTGCACCCCCCGTCCGGGACCAGAGCGACCTGGTCGTGAGGAAGAATGCCACCGAGGGAGCCTCTTGTCACCAGCTTGCCTGCAGGTGTGAGTTCTGGCCCAGCTCCGGAAGTTTTACATTCTGCATGTGAAGATTATCCTTTCTATATCTTCTTCCTAGTTTAAGCTGGAAAGGGTGATGGACAGAAGGCCTGGCCCCACTGGGCGGAGCCGTCAGACACTTGGCACCCACGAACCAGACGTGGTGGTTAGGGGTTGGGTCACAGTCATCCCTGCGTCCTCGGGCACAGGCTGGCCGCCACGATTCTACAAGTTGCCCCTGGCGGCCGTGTCTAAGTTTCCTCACTTCTGGCACTTCCAGCGCTTTACCTCTCAGCCCGGATTTTGTACCTCAGGACAAAATAGGCGATGAGGCGCAGCGAGATGAAGAAAATGCCCAGAACGATGAAGTCCAGGTAGAGTTTGGCGTTCTCCACATCCAGCTCTCGAAGAATGGCCTCTGACTTCTGGAAGTGGCAGGTCTCGTCGATGTCGCAGTGCAGGTCCTCTCGGTCCAGGCCGTAGATGGACAAGATGACCCCTTCAAAGCCATACCTGCAGAGGAAGGAGCCTGGTGTGAGGACGGCCCTGTCCCGGTGACCCGGTGACTTCCCCCCATCCCTGACTCTGCCTCCATTTGCTGAGGGCAAAATAACGTCCACTTGTCCGTGGTGCCCAGTCGGCACCCTTCCCATGGCCCTGTCCTCACTGAAATGCTTCCTCTCCGACAGCCTCACTCCCTCTTCCATTGCTGCCCCCTCCAAATGGAATGAACCGTAGGTATTCGCTCCGTGGTTCAAGGACCTGAATGCCACTTTGACTGCTTCTGATGGCACACACTTCCTAGCAGCTGGACATAATAGAGAGTCCGACAGCCTTCCGCGCACCGCAGGGCACTCTCACTAAACACTTCTGCCCCACCTCCTGCTCCTGCCACTGTCAGAACAAGAACACTAGTTTTGAGGAGAAAGACCAGGTGTCGGGTTTCCTGAAGCTGCACCGGCACCCTGTTCCCCGTTTGTTTTCCAGAACATTATGCCTGGGCCCGAACTGGCACAGGAAAGAAAAGCTTGTCCCGACCTGGGAGCCGTGTGTCCTGTGAAATCGCTCTGGCTGGGCAGAAATGCTCAGGAGACTCATGCAGCACGCCCAGGACCCACGCGGCACTCCCACACGCCTGGTGGGCCCAAGTGCAGAGCACGTGGTCCAGTGGTCACAGCCAGGATGCGCGTGCCCAGACGCTGGGATGCTTACGTCAAGACTCGTTTCTCACGGGATTGCTCATTAGGGTTCACAATACTCAGAAATGTGTATGGGCACCATTTCTTCCAGGGAGGAATGAAGTGCCTTAAAGTCAACATGCGCCCGAAGACAGCTCTTCAAAGGACTGGAAATGTGGGCCGAGCTGGGCTTCTTCAGTAGACGGGGAGAAGCCCTGATCCTACCCTGGGGTGTGTGTGTGTGCGTGTGTGTGCGTGTGTGTGTGTGTGTGTGTGGCTGGGGGGGAGCACACAGAATTGGGACAAGAATAAGAGGCGCAGATCTTGGATCCATGATCTGGGAATCATGCTGGCATTTAGCTGACAGCCAGGATGTGGCTTTTGTGAGTGTCTGCGCATGAACAAGAGTCCCCCCTCCCCCTGTCACCGTACAGCCCCCGAGTTGTCGATGGCATCCCCGACAGCTACCTGACATAAGAGATGTAGGACATCCACTGCAGGTAGGTTGGGATGGTGTCGAAGCTGACGAAAAATCCGGAGAAGAGGAGGACGGGGATGGCCGTCACGGGGCCCACGAAGGTCGCCACCTGGGAGACAGAGGAGAGCTTACAGTCCTGCCCGGCTTCCTCCACAGGCGGCTCCCAGAGGCCCGACTCCCGGACAGTCCCCAGGACCGGTTTTCAGGACGTGTCATCCGTGGGCCAAGATGCCGCGGAGAAGCATCCGGTCTGGGGAGTGAGCAGCCTGCTCTCGGGTTTCCTGATTTGCCCGAGTTCTGGCTTTGCTTTTAAGGAAAGGTCTGAGCTCCCTGAAGCCACAGAGGCACAGGAATGCATGTGGGTTTGGCAGGTGGTGGGTGGGCGGTACCAGGAATCCACAAGGGGGCATGTGGAGGGACTCAGCTGGGGTGGGAATGTGGGGGTGCAGTGGGGGTTGAAGGGATGGGCAACTGGATCCCCCAAAGCAACAAAACCTGGCATCCAGAGCTCGGCCTCCGAGCTAGCTGTGGGACCCTGACCCAATCACATGCCTCTCTGGGCCTCAGTGTCCCCACCTGGCAGATGGGGACAGCACAGCACCTAATTCAGGGTGTGCTTGGGGCTAAATGAGCTACTGGGTGGGGAGCACTGAGGACAGCACCTGGCATACATGAGGCGCCACATAAGGGCATCTGCGGCTGTGGTTATACCAGTCCTGACTAGCTGGGACAGTGTGAGTCCTGACCCAGAGACTGACCCAGGGAAGCCAACCTAGGAAGTCAGGGCGGAATGAGGAGGGGGGTGGTGGTGCTGAGCCCCGCCAAGGTGGCAGGGGGGCGTTTCCCTGGCTGGTACCTGCAGGGATGTGGAGGCAGCTCCGATCAGGAGGCCCAGGGACTGCGCCACCAGCGAGGTCATGGTGCCCAGGGCAGCGAACAGGACAAACCGCACAGCGTCGGATGGCTGCGATGTCATCCAGTACACGATGCTGCAGTAGGCCACTGGAAACATGATCTGGGGACACAGGGTCTGTCACTCTCTCGTGGAAACGGGGTCTTCCTCCCTGGGTTACGGGGTATGGCGAAGAACTCTTGCCCCTCTTCCAATACATGCCCTTCGCATACGTACCTGGAAGGGGACGTCGGCCATGGTCTTGGCCAGGTAGTAGGCCTTCAGGCTGTACCAGTAATTCAGATGTTCCCGCAGAAACACTCCCATCTCCAGGGGAACTAGGGGGCAGGAAAATGGAAAGAGGGTCAAGCAGACGCACTCAGTGCGCCAGATACTGGCACAGGGGAGCTGGCCCGGCCGTTCAACACTGTGGTCCCTGGGGTTTGGGTGGAAAAGGTAAGGACCGATTCACTGGCCTGGGAAAACTGCCCATCACTTTTATAACCTGGGAGCCACCAAGGGGGGGATATCTACATGAACATTGAGTATTATTTTAGTGATTAATGTAAACAGTTCTTATTCAACTGGTTCTCACTGAGTAACTAACAATGTGGTTCCTTCCTGTGGCCAAGACCTCACGAGCTGGTCTTGGAAATTGCAGGAGATGTGGGGAAGAGGTGTCGTGGGGAGGAAGTGTTTATGCTGGAGTTTGGCTGAAGCAGTGGGTTTCCACACCATCAGCCCACAGGGACCGAGGGCAGCTTATTCTGCAAACAATCTATGCTTACACGGAAACCCATTTGTGATAGCCTTCCCCGCTCACCAGCCTGGCTGGACCAGGCCTGTCTCAATAACTGAGTGAGGTTAGAATGCCTTTTAGAAATCTCTCTTTCATTAGCCTTCCACCATGTGTAAAAGTCTCCCATTAGTGATTCATTCCTTTGGCTTAAATTATGGTGTGTATTTTCTTGTCTAACAAAAAAATACAACTGTGTATCTGTCTACAAAGAAAATGGTATTTTAAAAAACAAGACACTGTATGTTGAGAAAACTCATCTCTCGGCTGAGCCATGACCTTGGTCCCCAGTTCGTGGGCTGGAATGATGGATAATGGAGGAGAGGTGGGTGGTGGCCAGGTGAGACTCAGACACTCACAGGTGAGCACAGTGGGCATGAGGGCCGCGAACATGAGGAAGAGCATGGAGAAGAAGAGGAAGCCGGAGTTACTCAGGACCTTCTTGGCTTCGTTCCCAATCCCCAGGTACAGCAGGCCGATGAGGAGGCCGATGCCAATGTGAGAGGTGATCCGCAGGTGTGTCAAGACCTGGGGGCAGACATGGCTGTTACTTGCGTGCCCAGAAGTTGGGGGGCTAGGCAGTGGCGGGACAACGGGGCCAAGGCCTCCGGACGCATCGACCATCACAGACCTCGTGCTTCATCCTGCCCCTTCTCCTCCAGCAAAGCAAGCGCCCCGCCCGAAGCCAGCTCTCACACATGCACACAGAGAGCAGTTTATCACTGTTAAAGCAGAACTGTCCAAAAGGAGAGGACAAGTGACGACGAGGGTGGAGAAAGGGACAATGGGTGGGTACATCAGAGGCCCACCCTTAAAGAGCTCCATTTTTCACACTAGGTCCCAGAGGCCCACCAAGTACCCAGCCCCTCATGGGCGGGTTGTTAGACTGTCCACGTTAAAGGTGGCCATCACTATGGTTCTCCACGGCCATCCCCTCCTTCCTGACAAGCCTGGACCCTGTGCCTGGCTGTTTCCCTGAGGGAGGAAGATGTGCCTCACATCACACATGGCCCGATGACCTGCTTTGGCCAGAGGAAGGTGAGCACAAGCGACAAGTTGCCACCAGAATTTTTACATTTGGTTTTTCCTTTGCACTTTCCCTGCGCCACATTCTAGAAAGAAGCTGGGCGTCCCCTCTGAGCCCCAGGATATGGGCGGGGTCACAACACTCAGCCATAAATATTTACTGTCATAGCTGCTGGCATTTGGGGCTGTTTGTTGCAGCAGCATCACAGAGTAAAAGCTGACCAATGCAAATGGAGGGACAACAATCTGAAAGGTCTGTCAGAACAGATACCCCTGAACGTGACCAGCAGCTTCCTTTGCCTAGGAGGCGACTGCAAACCCACTTACCGAATCCCTCATGATACTCAGGAACGTCCTTTTGAAGAGGATGCAGAACTGGGTGAGGCAGCTGGCGGAGAAGCTGTGACAGCCTTCCATGGAAGTGGAGTCCTGAGGACACACCGAGCAGGGAGAGGCGGTGAGAAGCCCGCCCCCAGGATGCCCCTCCTCTCAGCTCAGACACAGGGCCGCACGGTGGGACCACAACACAGCGAGTGCTCTCCCAGGCCGGGGGTGGGATTACCTTTCTCAGCCCCTTCAATCGTTTTGCCTGCTTTACCTCTTCAGAGGGCCGGTGCCAAAGGAAGGGGTTCACCTCGGCATCCCCCCCAGGCTCTTTCCTGTAGTCCGAGTCGCACACGCCCTCGCTCACGGCTCTCACCAGGCGCCCGTTCTGGTCGCCGTACTCGCCAGATGCCACCTCCATGACTGTAGGGGACACAGGTGCACGGGATCAGCCAGACTCCGGGACAGAGCCCGAGACCACTGACACAAACCGTGGGCCTCCTTCATTTTTGCAACGACAGAGCCAGGAATCGGGCAGAATATTTTTAACTGACTGCACATGAGCTGCATGAGGATGATGTTAGGATAAAATCATTTAGTAACTGATGTTCTTTTGGCTCTAAACCCCCAGCAAGGCCACTTCTCATGTCAGGAGCCTGGAGATGAAAATAACAAGTATGTTCTCTATTAACTCAGGCATCCATCCAGTGTTGGCTGAATGCCTGCCGTGGGTGCCCACGCCTCGGAGCGGAAGCTGGAAGTCCAGCCGCATTTTGCACGTAGGGCCGGGCGTGAGCGATGAGACCAGTGGCAGTTCAGTGGGACCACAGAAAAGGGGGTGCTCGGGGCCCTGAGTTGTGCTCGGCATCCTGGGGGCATTGCAACTTGTCGTTCCCAGATATCTTATCTGGATGAAAACAACCTCTTTTTCTCTACTCTTCAAAGTTCCACCATAGGATGGCCTTGAGCCCTTTGAGAAATAATAATTCCTGACTCGGGGCCTCAGGTAAAAGAGGAAACCCACCCAGACTGGCAAACACACACGATTTCTTTCCCTCCCGGTCAAGGCCCTACTTACCAAAATCGGCTGGGTTGTGGTAGGTGGGGCAGTTCAGACCCAAATCCCTCAAATACGGGACAAGATTGGAGACTTTTCCCCGGTACACGCACTGCCCTTGACTAAGGACATAGAGCTGGAAGAAGCAAGGAGAGGTGAACGTCAGCCATGCCTGCCTCCATCAAGCAGCGGGTGCTTCCAGGCCACCCACCCACCCACCCACCTACCCACCATCCATATTTCGACCCTCGGGACTTTTTTTTGCCCATGATAATATCAAAACCCAAGAGTTATAAAACACAATATTATACAAATAACCTGTCACTTGATTCTAGAAAACAGGAATTCCCAATTGTTGCAGAGAAGGTAACAAAGCCACAACAGTATCAGCTATGCGCCCAAAACCCCGTGCCACACACCAGCCCCGGAGGGCGGACCCTGGCCGGCTCTTCCCAGCCCCTTCACCAGCTGCTATGGCTCCTGAATCATATGAAACACAACAGTGAAGACAGCCCCATGAACTAAGGGGAAGCTGAGTGAACAGAATCTGGGTTCACCGGGGCCGGTCACGGCAGGGCCCGCATACCTGGTCGAACATCTCGAAGAGCTTGGCGCTGGGCTGGTGGATGGTGCAGATGATGGACCGCCCTCCTTGAGCCAGCCCTTTCATCAGGGAGACCACCTGGAAGCAGGAGGCGCTGTCCAGGCCACTGCAAGTCAAAGGTACCATGAGACGCTTGTGGGACCCCCCAACTACACCCACATTCACAGTGTACTGGGTGGTCTGTGTGCCAGCCCCGAGCCATGGTGTCTCCTCATCTCAGAGCGGCACAGTGGGCAAGTCCGATCTCTGCTCTGTGACCCCGAAATAGAGGGAGGAAAAGACGAGACATCTGGGGCTCATGCTTCCCCAGCCTGATGCTACAGTAGGGGCCCCAGAAAATCTGCAGGTGGAGAGGTCAGGGGCTCTTTCCCCCACTGCTCCTGAATAATACCTGGTTGGCTCATCGAAGAACATGACGGGGGGGTTGTTCACCAGCTCCAGCGCGATGGCCAGGCGCTTGCGCTGCCCGCCTGAGAGGCTTCCGGTCCGTGTGTTGGCACAAGACAGCAAGCCCAGAGCCGTCAGGATCTCCTTGACCTGAGGGGCGGGGCGACAGAGTCACAGTGGCCATCAGGGACCTCTCATCACATGTCACCACCTCTGGTGTCCCTGTAGAAACCTGCTGCCTCCCCCACTTCACTCCCAGACACACACAGACCAACGCCAGTGACTCCAGTCCCACCCCAGGCTGCCGGTTTCCAAGTCTGAGGCCCTGGTTTGGGTCCCGGAGGCTGAGGAGCAGTGGGGACGCTAGGTCCCCTGCCTGGGCGGAGTCTTTGCCCTGACTCCTGCTGTGACCTTCACTTGTAAGCCTCACCCAGGGCCCAGGTCTGTAGAATGGGCAGACTGATGGGCACACAGATGGACAGATGACTGGGTTTCTGACCAGCACAGAGGAAGGGCCACCAGGACAGTGACACGAGATAATGAATGAAAGTGCCTGGGCCACGTGAGTGTTAAATCGACAGCAGCTGTTGACGATGCTATTCCCGGGAGGCCGCTCCTGCAGACACACAGGCACGCAGGCCAGCCCTCTCGGAAAGCAGATGGGAGCCCCCGTGCGCTTGCCAATAGGAGAACAAGGTCTCTGAAGGGGCGGCTGGATGAGGGCCCTGCATGAGGCAGCCAGTCCCTCCCTCCGCAGCCCTGAGGCCCTCTGGGACGCAGGTTGGCCACTGGGACACAGACATCCACTGCACACGGAGCCCTCCCTGTGGGATAGGATGGCTGGTCCAGTGTTGACTCAGGAGCAGAAGGGTCAGCAGTCTTCAGGGCTGGCAGGGGTTCAGCTGCAGTGTTCGGGTGCAGTGTTGGGGGCGCACTGTTTGGGGCGCTGCCCAGTATCTTCTCAGGGGCCAGCTGTTGGCCTCCCTGCCTCCACACAGCCTCACCTCCTAGGGCCCCCCGAGAATTCTCCTGGCCATCGTCCCAGACCCTGGTGGCTCCTGGGTCCATCTGGGTGAACCCAGTCCAGCAGCTTCTCTGGGGAGATGAGGTCATCCCAAAGGAGAAAGAACTCACGAGGAAGAAAATTTCCGTTCTGGCGCTTGGATTACTTAAGCACAGTGGGTATGAAACTTGGCTTTGGTGTCAGAAAGACCCAGAACACTGCTGCTCCGTGGGCTGGGAAGCAGCTGGTCAGACAGGCCTGGGTTCAACTCCTGATCATCCTCTCTCGTTGATTTCAAACCCCACTCCACTGCCTCTTCTGGAATGCCATGCCTTTGAGGGACACTAATCCAGAAAAGAGGTCAGTGAGGTCACTCAGAAAAGGCCATCGAGGTGGGTCAGGGGGACAGCTCCTCCTGGCACACTCCCCCTCCTGTGCAGACAGAAGCACAGGCCAAAGTTATAGGATGAAGAGCCATGCCGGCCGGTCTCTGCTTGCACCGGGGTCATCGCAGTAGGGCACAGCACAAGCCCTTTGCCTGTGCACGTTTCCTCCAAGGGGTGGCCCCTTGCAGCTGAGCGTCTTCCTGGAATGACACTCTGCAGGTCGGTTTCATTTCAAAACTTCTCAGCGAGAACAATATCTGGCCCTGGGAACTTTGCTCCTGAGGAAGCCCCCTCCCTGGGGGCTCTGGAAGCCGAGGCTGCGTTTCTGGGAAACAAGGAAAGCTCGACAACACATTCCATTCCGGCGAGAACATTCCAGTCTATTGTGTTTCCATGGTGGGAATTGGAGGGAAATGAGTTAGGACATGTGATGGGCTTCTTATCCTTAAAATAAGCACACAATCCTGTTGATGGGTTCCTGTCGGGGATGGGCTGTAGACAGGAGGACGGGTTGGTGAGACGCGTGGGCAGGACCTGAGAACACCTGTCGGCCGCGCAGGCGTGGCTCACTGCCTTGTTCCATCGACATCGCGAACTCGAAGTGAGGGGCGAGGCTCTCACTCCCTGGGGGTGGCACAGCCACCCAGTCTAGCGGAGAACAGCACGGGGCTCCCTTCGGGTCTGTGTCCCAGGACGTGCACCGGGCAGGCCCTCCAGGGGGACACCTCTTTTCCCTACCAAGAAAGCCATCTGGCGCCTGCCCCTCCTGCTCGGGCTGGCAGCGTGGGTGCCGGTGGCCCTACCCTGGCCTCCGGGGCTCTGGGATTCCATCAGCAAGGAGGGAATGGAAGGCCAGGCGCCACCTGCCTTCAGGGCAGCAGAGGCTGAATCAGGTGATGCCGCCAGCTACCTGGATGGGGCTGGAAGCTGCCTCTGAAGGTCCCAACAGAACAGACTAGCGGCTGCAGAGGACTGCGCTCCTCAATATAGAAAGTCAGCTGAGCGGCACGCACTTGTCCTCCCGGCCCGACAGTGATGGCTGCCGTCCTCAGCAAACCCGCCCCTCTCAGAAAGACTGGTCCCTGCAGGTTATGGGTCAGGGAGTCCTCCTCGGCCCACTCACTAACGGGTGACGCCTGCTCTGGGCAGCTCATACACGTTAACAGCAGCGTCTAATTCAGGATCACACTGCCCCGGAGGCAGGTGACGCCTGGCCTCCCACTGCCTCTTTCGAGACGGAAGCCCAGAGCAGCCGGAGGCAGGGGCCCCTGGTTACCCAGTGGGGGGGGACACCCCTTTGCTGTGCTGTGTCACAACTGAGCTGTTTGCCCTGGACCGTTTCCTTCTTCCCCACACCCGAGATGGGGGGCTCCTGCTGGTGCAGCGTCGACGCCAATGACCTTCATTGACAGGAGACTCACATGCCATCCCACGTTTTTTACGTCTCTGCTTCAGGCCCATGAAGTCCACGCGTCCCTTTCGATCTCAGAATATGAGTTCCAGGTGATACATCTTCACCCAGACAAGCTTCGCTGGCCGCAGAAGCGGGGCCTTCACACATACTATGCAGTTAACCCTCCCCTCCCCCGATTCAAGGGCTGACCCCTAGGGGTCCTGGAGGGCACAGCGGGGTGAAGGGAAGAGAACGGGGAGGGTGAGGCGGAACCCTAAAGATGCCGGCCTTTCTTTTCACACCGAGGTGATTTACATCGAGGCAACAGGAGCGATTATGTGAGACAGGAGAGCTAGCGGATGTAAACAGAATCGTTGCTGGTATTTCCTCCACATATGTCTGTGCCCTTGATATCATCATCTCCACCCCGCCAGCAGATGGAGGGCCAGGCTGGGCCCGCGCTGGGGCCCTCCCCTCAGTGAGGGCCTCGCCCAAATTCTGTTCTTATACCGAAAACTCCACTGGCGCCCACGGCGGGAGTGGAGAGGAGGGGAGCTGAGTTTTCCTTCGGTGTGTGCGTATTCACTCACTGGTCCCCCAAATGGGGCTCTCTGGGGCTCTCCCCTGGGTCCGCTTGCCTACCACCCTCCCTGCTCCCTAGAGTTCTGGGAAATGAGGAGAGCCATGAACAGGATTAGAAGAAGGTCTTACTCAGCTTGGAAATGTGTTCATTTTATTTTTAAAAGGCTGGTTAATAACACGTGAGAATCAAATTTCTTCTTGCAAGTGTGTGTAGGTGGAGGCTGAGTATTTTTAACTGAATGACTAGGCACCCTCACGGTTAGCATTTTACAAAAAACAACTGCGTATGAAGCATATTAAACCCAAAAAGGGACGGTACTTGGGCTGACCCAGAGGCCGGGCCTTCTGGCCACCGAAGCTCCCAGGCTGGTGTCCTGCTGCATCCTGGCTGTTTGTGGGGTGGTCCCAGGACATGAGAGTCAAGGCTGTGGCTCTTGCAGTGCAGGGGCTACTCCTGGCTGCCAGGCTAGAGTACAGCACACTGCGATGTCCCCAGGTCCCCCACAGGAGGCAAGGCGACAAACCAATAAAACCAGTGCAGAAAAGGTCCCTGCCCAGGTGTCTGACCAGCGGTGCTCATGCACTTTCTGGACCACCTGCGGCCCCAACGCACACACTTACCATTTCTTTTCTGCCTTCATCTTTCTCCTGGAGCTTCAGATGTGCAGACACCTGCAGGGATGAGGGGCACCGTGTCAGGATAGAGTCAGGACAAGTGGCCCTCAGTGGGCAAACCTCACAAGACACACCACAGGCCAGGAGCCCCAGGGGCTGGAGGAAAACCCTCGGAGGGGGTCTTGGCCTCCCACCTCCCTTGGCTCAACGGAGGTGGGGTCTTGGAGAGCCGTGAATGTCTGTGGTGCTTCCTGTTCTCTCCATCAAATTGCTGCTGTGCCCTTGAGAGAAGCTATATGTAGGCAGCCGAGAGATGAGGAGACCTCAGGCTCCAGGGCCCTAGGACTAGTGGTTATGTTTAGGGACTTCACAAGCCACTTGTTAAGCCGCTGGTAGCTTAAAACTCTCCATTTCTCATCACAGCCTGTTGGAGAGTATTTACACCACAGAAACTGGCAAGTGCTATAGATCAGGACTCCAGCTGGGTTGTTTGGTTTGAGACCCTGTTTGCCACCACACCCCTGGGCCCCTGACCCTGCTGGGTAGAATCCTGTGTTACCACCATCACGTCCAGTGTCAGCCTTGGTTCTGCTCTGCTGACTTCTGCGGCTTTGGGGACCAAGGAGCCTCGGTTTCCTTATGGCCACCAAAGCGAGGTCAGAACCTGCCCATCACAGAGCTGGTGAAGTTGCCATGGGGATCAATGACAGACTGAGATGCAGGGGAAGCAGCCACAGTCCCAGTCAGAGAGGGGCAGGCCGAGGTCAGCTCGGTCAGGCCAGCTGCTTGCCTGGTGACACCAAGTGGCACTTCTTGGTTGGCCCAGTGGTTGTGAGGGTCAGAAGCAGCTCATGAACATGCACAACCCAGAGCTGGTAGCCAATATCATCCCGACATGTGTGACAAGACCTCACGATAAAATCTCACTTAATTTAATTCTGAAAATAAACGGATTTCACAGCAGAGCCTGGTGAGAGGTTAGGGGGAGGAGGCAGATGACAACACAAGTCACCAATCCTGTTTGCGAGAGGAGGCAGTGACTGAGCCAGAAATCAGAGTGCGGCTTCTCCCTGGCCACCTGAGAGAGACGAAGGGGCCAGCCGGGAGTCAACAGGGGCGCGTGGAGCTCGTGTCTCCTGAACTTGCTTCCGTGCCTGCGGTCCCCTCCTAAGTTCCCTGTGCCCTCGTCGGAACGTCTGCTTGGAGGCCAGATAAACAACTGGGGCTGCCTGTGCCTCTCTCTCGGGAGGCCGGCCTGGGGGAGAGGTGTCCCCTGACCTCCAGAACACTGAGTACCGGGGAGGACGACAGGAACAAGCCCGCAGAGCCCTCCTTCCCGTGTATGCGCAAAGCAGGTTAGGGCGAGGATCGCACATCTGATGCCTTACACCGCTTCCCTTTGCTGAGATCCCCTCGGAATTGCCCTCGGGATGCAAGGCTGGCGGCTGCCACCCTGTAATGCCCGGGCGGGGGAAGAAGCTTTGCCCAGCCCCAATGACAAGCACAGGGTGTGACCTTTCCAGGCTGGGAACCAAGGTGAACTCCGTCCACTGACCAAGGGCTCCAGGCAGACAGGCTGCGGACAAGGTGTCACGGGCCAGGAGCAGCCTGGAGCCCTGTCTTTTACGACGGATGAGGACAAAGCAGGAAACCGAGCAGCCTTGCCACAAACGCACCATGGTGAGCACAGGGCGGCTGAGCGACCTTCCCGTCTTCTCAGTGGGAGACACTGCAGCGGCTCCCGCTGCCCGGAGCTGGGTCTGTGTGGCCCCTATTGGCGTGGGCTGGGCCTTTTTAAAAGTGGCTCCAGGGCAGGGCACTTGGCTGGGTCGGGGGTCTGCTCAGGGAGCATGGTGGCCCAGCCATCCCGGACCCCAGAGTCCAGGACACCCTGGGCTAACAGCTGGACCTGGAGGCTGCCGTTCCCCTGCTTTTGCAAGACTGCGTGTTTGATGGCCGTCGGCTACCTGTGCGCGTGCAGGGCCTGGCAGGAAATGCTGGTTCCACTCCCCGACCTGGTAGGCAGGTGAGTCGGAGGAGGATGAGGCCCTCGGGCCCTGATTCGGCACCAGGCTGACTGGAACTTGGGTCCAAAGCCACAGATGCTTGAATGACAGGTGACAGGAAGGGCAGACCCTTGGCCCGAGGGGGCAGGACTGTGGTCACCTTGGAAGGGGTCACCCCCATCAATCGGGTCAATAACTTTCTCAGAAATTTGACCTGGATGTTGCCATCCAGGGTCTGTGACAACCCAGGGTCCAGAGGTTTGTTTTCATGAAGCTGTCGAAACAGCGCGGCTGGTGTCAGCACGCCACAGGAGAGAAGGGCCTGGACAGCCCCCGCCCCACACTGGGCGCCACTCCCGAGAACAGAGAAACGGGGGTAGCTCACCATCATGGCCTCCTGCACAGTGAGGTGCGGCAGCAGCATGTCATCCTGCATGATGTAGCAGGACACCTTCCGGAAGCAGCGCAGGTCCCGGGGCATGCCGTTGATGAGGATGGCCCCCTTCATGCCGGTCTCCCTGCAAGGCCAGGAGGGGCCTTGTCAGCCCAGCCCCTGCTCCTCCTCCCCAGAGGGCCCAACAAAGAGGCAGCCCCTCCCATCTCCCTCCCAGGGGGCAGGAAGGAAGGAGACCCAAGACTCACAGGAAGGAACCACATGGAGCAAATGCCCAGCGCAGAGAGGGGAGGGCATGTTTGTAACACGTGCTTGTAAACAGAGATATGCATGGATTCTCCTACACGTAGCCACAAGGTCACAGGTACACCCCTGGCTTTTCGGGGGGTTTCTAAGATGGGCTTCTGAGCAGTCCTGTGGGTAGCCCAGGTTACACTGGCTGCCCCCTAAAACAAGCCTCTGCAGCAGGGCATCTGGCTGCTAGACAAGAACTAGTTCCTGAGGGTCCGGCTCTGATACTGACAGGGAGGGGACACAGCAGGGTCCCTGGGCTCACAAGGCTCAAAGAGGAGGGGGCCAGTGTCCTGGACCCACTCAGTCAAGTGCATGGTTCTTCTCTACCAGGAACGCTGTTCTCTGTGACCATAGTGGACGGGTGGGGCCCCCCCATGTGTGCTTGGAAATGGGGCACAGCCTGGCCAGCCACACACACTCACCCCCTACCTCCCAGACCCATGTGCATCTCCACTGCCCAAGGCTCTCTTGGGCACCTCCGCTCAGCTGGGGAAGCGGCAGGGACCAGCCGTTCTGTCCCACAGCCACCCTCCCGAGTGCTGAGTGGGCAGCGTCCACTTCCACTCTGTGATGCAGTGACCAGGAGCTGCCTTCTGATGCTTTCAATGTCACTTTCTTCCCTGGGCTGTTTCCTTCACAAAATCAAAGTCTCTTAAGGCTACCCACCCCCCAGCCCCACTCCCACCCCCAGGCTTCACTGCAGCCTGCTCAGAACCATAAGAAGAAGTGGGAGGGCCGGAAGCAGCTTCACTATCCATACTGTTGTCACGATGCCACACCAGGTGAGGACCTGGTTCTCCTCTGAGGGGTGCGCTCACCTGTACCCAGCCAGGATGTTCATGAGCGTAGATTTCCCAGCCCCGGAAGGGCCCATGATGGCCACCAGCTCCCCACTGTTGAATTTCCCAGAAATGCCTTTCAGAAGGGTCTTGTATCCTGCAAAACAGCAGATGACATTCACTTTCCAACGATCACAGGACTGGCTGGTCTGATCCCTGGTGCCACACAGACAAGCGCATAGCACACCCAGCCACGGGACCCAGGTGGGGGGCCAGATTCGCCTCTAGAGCATTTCCTGGGCGATGTTAACAGCAGTCGCCGGTGGGTGTGCGATGCCTCAGACCATGCGAGGCACTTTCACACACACTATGGAGGGTACAAGGGCTCTGCCATGCTCCTTTCAGAATGAGGACATGGGCGTCTGGGGCCGGGGGGACGCGTCCTGGCCCACACACCCAGCGCGAGCAGATCCTGACCCAGGCCCCCACGATGGGTAAGCACATGACTAATTTATTATTCCTTTTGTGAATTTTTATTTATAATTTATACAAATATAAATTATTCATATAGGATTTATTCATAAATCATTACTCCATATTAATTAATTTATCATTAGAAGTTTATTGTTTTGCGGCCACATCGAATTGCTGTGGAACCCCTGCCTGGTCTCCATCTGGGAGCTCTGCAGAAGCACGGTCATCTACACATCCCGAGCAGCGCCACGCGCGGTTTTCTGAAAACACTGTTCGGATGTGCGATAAGGAACAAAACAGGAGAAACCGGGTTTGTGCACAAAGACTTCTAGTTCAGAATCAGTTCTCGGTGCCTGAGAAACAGAGCACCCTTAAATGACCAGGGCCACGCAAACACGTTTCAGCTGCTGCACAAGGGGAGGCGAGCACCCCGCCAGAGCCCACTTGCTCCCCAGGACCCCACACCGGTCTGTGCAGTCAAACCCCAGCCAGGGTCTGGAGAGCTCCTGTGTCTCCCAGACAAGACGCCAGGACACCCAACCTGTCACCAGGTGCCACCTCGGTTTAGATGGGGAGTCCCCAAGGCCTTGTTTAGTCAGGCAGAGAGAAGCGGAAACAAAGGCAGGAAACTCGTGGCTCTGAGTTCTGGCTCATTACGGAGAGTGACAGTCGCCTGGGGAGGGCTGAGATGGTCGTCCCGGTGGGAGAGGGGCAGAGAACAAAGAGAGGGTGTCGAGCAGAGCAGCGCAGAACTGCCACTGAGCCAGACGCCTGCCGCTGAGACGTCCGTGACGCGAGATCAGCAAACACCGGCCGGTGAGAGTTAACGGAGGCCCACGGGGACCCAAAGGACTGCATCAGTCCTTCAGTGGACAGACAGACAGAAGGGCTGTGGGACAGCAGAGACCCCTCCCCTGCAAGGTCAAGCTGCCAGTACAGCAGGCTCTGAATCAGGATGGAGCTGTGTTGGCCCAGAGCTCTGGGACCTGGGCCACAGGGGACCCGCCTGACATCACTGAGGGAGCATTAAATGCCAGGCCTGCCAGACATCTGCTCATTAGCAGCCTCTTGTGGGCTCAGATCCTGAGCAGGGTTACTCCCGAGCAAACTCCCTATAAGCTGTTCCTTCTCAAAGTTCAAGGTTGATCCCCAGCTGGTTCCCTGTAAACCAGGAGCTGCCTGACGAGGCAGATGCCTTAGGGAGATGGCCACTGGCCACTTGGAGGCCGCCTGCAGTCTGCACAGGGGTCGTGACAACCGGAAAGCAGCCTCGCTCCTGGGACTCTGGGGGGATGCTCCCTCCGGGCAGAGCCCACAGGCACTGCTCTCGCTCTGACGTCACCTGGTGTTGGCCCCTGGGGCTGGGGTCCACACTGGGACACAGATAACAATAGTGGCTGCAGGAAGGTCACAAGCTGTGATGCCGGTAGCTAGGAAGCCAGGAACAGCCACGGGTGTGGCAGCCGGGGCAGCATCCGGCCCCTGCCAGGGAAAAGGCCGGAAGAGTGGGGGACAGACTGTGGTGTCCTCCCTACAGCCACCAGACTGGGATGGGGGGTCTGTCTGTGAGCCCTGGCTAAACAGGCCCGCTGTCCAGTCATGTGAGCTGCAAGGCCTCCAAGGCCGATGACTCATGCCTTAGAGGGGACAGCGGTTCCCAGGGTGACACGGAAAGAGGGGGAGTGCGTGTGTGTGACATCTGTGCGACATCTGCAGGGCCAGCCAGGAAAGGCCACCCTGAATCTCAATGACCTGAGGCTCCCGAAGCTCCGTGATGGCGGGAACACAGAAGATGTCCAGTGAGGCCCCTCCCCCTAAAGGCCAGCCCGCCGGCCCCAAACTGAGTGCCCGGCACGAGCCTGGACAGCTGCTGACCGCCCCGCGTGCACCTTGTTTTCCTCCCCGTTCTCCTTACTTTTGCCCCTAGAACCCTTAGGACGTCAGCTCCATGATGATGTGACCAGAATCACCACGTCCCGTGGGTAGAACAGGACTAGGTCACTTAATAAAAGTTTATGGAATTCACAGAGAGAAAGTGAACTCTGCAGAAGTGAATTTAGTCACAGACACCGTCTTGGGCGCCACCATTTGGCTGAAGCTTCTTTCCGAGCCATTGCCCCTCAGGCTTCAGACCAGCGTGTGCTGGGTCAGCAAGAAGGTCCCAGAAGCCCCTGGCAGCTCAGCTCCTCCGCGGTCCCTGGGGTCAGCCCACAGGGTTGAGTGCTGCTGTGCAGTGCATTTTGGAGGGGCCGCTGGTCTCCCCACATGGATGTACAAAAGTCACCAGTAAATCCTTACATAAGCACAAGCAAAATGCACAATATGTATACTTCAGAGTGATTACTTTCGGATGCAAATGTTACTAAAGTCGTGCATACAGAGATAGAAAAATGCACAAATTGTAAGTGGGTGCAAACTTAGACACTCCCCCAAACTGGCCTTCCTGGGGAGCCAGCCCCCAGGTCAGAAGTGGGAGTGAAGGGCCCTGGGAGGCCCCTCCCACCATGTCAGTGGGTAATCGCTTTGGAATCTTAAGTATAACCCCAGGGGTGTTGATTTTTAGACAGAGGAATATATTTTTCCCAAAGGAGAAAGAAGTTATTTTCTTTTCTCAGAAGTGAAGACAACACTCCTGTGCCCACTGTGGAACACTCCTTAGATGGGAAACTGCGCCCCAATAATCCCGGGAGCCTGCCGTTTGCCCTATGACCCTTGCCCGGGATGAGCTGACTCTTGTCCATAATGTATGTCAGGAAGTCACAGAGAAATGGAACGACTGACCACTGGCACGTCCTATGTGAGCTAGCAGCGTCTTAAAGGGAAATGGTGCCTGTGAACACCCACAAGGTTTTGGGGACACACAGCAGCTTAGGTGCAGATTTTCTCATTTGTAGAAATGTACCCTCGAAGGACAGTCCTGCCGGCTCTGGAAGGGCTCATGTGGGATACTGGGTGTGCCAGCTTTGCTCACATCCCCCCCAAATGCCTCACAGCAAGCTGAGGACCAGGTCCTTTTCCATACTTTGCAGATGAGAAACAAGGGCTCAGAGAGGGTTAACAACCCGCCCAAGGCCACCCAAAGGCTTAGCAGAGGTGCCAGGATCCCCACCACTTCTGCTCAACTCCAGAGGTGGCCCTTGCACCTGGCCGCCCTCCAGCCTCTGCCAGCCCGGGAAGCCCCCGACCCGACCCAGCCTCCTTTCTCATCAATCGCTGTGGCCAGCTCAGCTCAGCAGGATGCATTTAGTCCACTGTTGCAGGAAACTCTAACAGGGGATTGGCAGAAAGTACACACCCTTCCTTCCCCCCAAATGGAATCCCCTTGGTGGCCAAAGGCCGAGGCTGCCGCCTGAGTGCGGGCAGAGTGGCTCCCAGTGTGGGTGTGGCAAGGTGACCCAAAAGCTAAGGCTTGAATGCCCTGCGTGCATCCACAGAGCTCTTAACTCATCCAATTGTCCCTCGACCTTCAGTCTCATTTTCTTTCCATGAAACATTCTCAAGTCAAAAAAAAAAAAAGAAAAGAAATTCTTGCCAGCGAGGGTCCAGGCGTCTGCCCTCCAGGGCAGACTCGAGCCCCAAGCTGAGCAGGTCCCCTCTGTCTGATATTAAAGACGTCGCCTTCCCTTACAGTCGTGAGGAAAGCACACCCTCTGACCCACACACCGCTCCCATGGCTCCTTGTCATAAAACCACCCCTGTCGCCCGCCGCTGCTGGCGGCCCAACCACAGGGACTGGAGCAGACGCGTTTCAGAGCAGCTCCCGGCACACCGGACCCCGTGGGAACCGTGAGGCCCGGTTCCGTCCCTCCAACTCCAGCAGCATGTGGCTCACTCACTCGGGTGTCACTTAGTGAGCTGCTGTGTGAAGTGGCAGCAGTTTCTAAAGCGACGCTGGGGTCAGGCATGGCTTTTGTGCATGGGCTGCTGTGGGGGCTGGGCAGGGGCGGTTGGAGTGGGTGCCCCCTGAGAAGCAGGCTCAGGTTGTGCTTGTCCAAGGGTCAATGCCAGGCTGATCACTGGGGTGAATGTGCTGTAGAAGTCACTGTCACAGACAAACGAGTCACTGAGTAGAGCTGTGCAGGCAGAGGCTGCAAAGGGGTCCTGACCCCAGCTTTGCTCTCTCACCTGGGAGCTGGGTCAGGTGGCAGGACCACACCAAATACTCCTCCTCTAGGCCTCATGGGGAGTCTCGTCGCGGACGAGGGGCCCCCAGTGCCCACGAAGAGGCCTGGTCTTCAGCAGAGATGGTCAGGGAGCTGTCTGCCTTCACACGCCCCCCACCACCATGTTCCCCTCCTTTCCTCTCCGGGCCCCCTGCACCTGTCAGCCAGGGGACTGGAGATGGACTTCACATCCTGCCTGTCCGTGTCCTCATCGGGACCCCTTCTCTCACGAAACTTATTTCTCAAACGTTTACAATAGCTACCATTTCTTACCTCAGTAAGAAATGATGGCTATTCCCTGATGCAGTTTTTAAATCATGGTCAAGTTTACAATACAGTGGCTGTATTGTAATTGTAATGTTTTGCCTTTAAAAAAATTTTACCCTGATCTGGTTACATAGGACTTTAGTATTGAGCAGAATTAAAGAAACCACCTTCCTGTTCAGGACAAAACAAACATTCACATGTAAGATACAAAGTTGGATATGGGAAAACGAGGTTTGGTCTCAAAATCCAGTTT